GCACGTTTCTTCCTTATCTTTTATTCGCTGTCCTTGTCATCGTTCGGCAAACTACAAAGGCGGGCGCGAGGCTCGAAAACGTATTCCCTGACTCTACAAGTGCCAGGTTTAGGTTCCTTGCGGACTGACACTTGTGGAGAATTTACTGTACTGTTTTCATATGACGCGATTCCTCGTAAAACGCGCCAAATAATAAAACACAGGAATTCCCCGCATTTCACACTCTTTTCTTTATCGTTACCGACTTATTCTGTTTCATAATTGTTTCTGTTCTTTCTTGATTGTTTCTTTATTACATAGATTAATAATATGCTCTTCTTTTTTTAACCAACAGCGTATATATGTCACTTTTTTCAAAAAACTGTCCTGTTTGATAAAGCATAGACAATAAAGATTGGCATGGCAATAATCATTCCAAACGTGATACTTTATATTATTCGCGTTATACTAGAAAAGTTCTCGTACAGCACGATTTTCTATAACGCGTAACGTTTAACCGCATTATACGGGAGTCTACTGTACACCAAAAAATCATCGATAAGGGAAATGAAATAAAACTTATATGGATTTCTGAACACGTAGGTATCTCGGGGAATGAGAAAGCCGATCGTGCCGCAAAGGAAGCTGCAATCACTCCGACTAATCACAAAAATCATCCTTCCGTGGACGACTTAATCAAGTACAGCTAAAAAAATATCGAAACTCCAATGTGAAACGGAATGGAAATTAACAACGTCCACCTTAACGATCTCTTTTTCAAAAGACACGAAAGTGCCCACCATGTCCAGGTGGGAACCAGTTGTTTTAACTCGCATTAAAATAGGACACTCGAAAATCTCCCACACCTATCTTCTAAAGAAAAGAACCTGCTCTATCGTGCGAACAGTGTAACACACCGATCGCAACAGATCATCTAATACTAGTATGCCCAAAGTATAGCTTCTTTCGTAACAAATACAATCTGAAACCTTCTCTTAACCCTTTAACTGCGAACAGCAACAGTCGTTCAGCGAACAGCGTCTACTGTCACGGCTGTTGCAGCTAAAGCATTGCACGATTGGTCCGTTTCGTTTCTGAACGCTCTGCAGTCAAAGGTGTGAGAAAATCCGTCACGAAGAGGGTAAAGCGAGTCACTCGAGACCGGGCCCAACACGCGCGGTAGGGGTGACGTCTCCTTGGGTTTTTCCCGGGCTTGCTTCGCGGGGGAGGTGAACAAGGAATGGGCAGGACGACTCGTCCTGACTCCTCACTCTTGACGAGACGGTTGAACACGTACCTTTGCGAACGACGCCCAGTCAATACGGATCTAGCCTTTCGTACCAAATACACTTTTTTAAGAACACAAAACGTCTTAGTTAATTTTACGCGCTCACAATATTTCGGCTCGAAATACAGAGTGTCCCGTAAAGAGTGTAACACCCGGGAATGGGGGGTTGCTGGTGTGACTCTGAACAACTTTTTCCTTGACCAAAATGTTGTTTGAAGTTTCGTTTTTGAATTATTAACGAAAAACACTGGCCAATCAGAGCGCGCGTAGAGCCCGCGCTCAGGGGCGGAGAACAGAGGCTCATCCGCGCGCGATCGAACAAATGCGTACGCGTGACTTCTCGGTTATTGGTCGCTATCAAAAAAATTTGATTTTGCACCGTTATTTTTATAAAGCTTAGAGAAATGGTTTTTTGCCGTCATTCCGACGTTTCTATAAATTTAAAATTTCTCGGTTATTGGTCGCTATCAAAAAAATTTGATTTTGCACCGCTATTTTTATAAAGCTTAGAGAAATGGTTTTTTGCCGTCATTCCGACGTTTCTATAAATTTAAAAAAAAAACTGCAATTAGTCGGAATCGCGAAGAAAAGAGCGAAGGTCGTTTTTACAACTTTTTTATATGAGCTCGTAATGAAAATCTAAAAAATACGTTTTGTAGATCTATGTCAATTAAGTATACACACGCTGAAAATTTCATCGAAATCGGTGGATGGAGAAACAAGCGACAGGCATCGAAAGATGTAAGAATCTGTAGATTTATTACAGTTTACGCCGATAGTCGTGATAGTGCGATTTTCACAATCTTTAACTGTTTGTAGCTCGTAGAAACATTAACCGATTACACCGCAGAAAACCACAACGTCTCTTCCCTTCGTGAAGTTCGCGCCTTGTAAATTCGGAATCCGCGAGTATAAGTGTCATCGTTAAAATAAAAGTTATATTGTTAAAATATAATCGATATCAACTTTCCTCTCCGGATTCCAACATGTTTATGGCCCCAAGTGGTTTGGGTCTAGTGAAGAGTGTATTGTTCGACTATGGCGCCGGTACGTCCATGGTGTTTGTCGATCGTCGGCATCTCGGTCTGGCTGCCAAATGTGACTAACTTGTTTATTGTGACAATCCGCCAAACCGAGACTTCGTTGCGCCTGTCGAATCCTCATCCCTTTGTCCCTTGACTCCCATGCATCCAGATCCTTATACCTACCTACCTGCGCGTTTTCCACTTTCCCACCGAATTCCTGTCTTATCTCCGGCAGACCTTCAAGCTGATGCACTCTACCCATTTTTTTGTACCGAATCCTTAAATTCATTACCTAACCATTGTCCCTGCATTATTCTTTCTAACCATCGAACACTCAATCCTAACGAGTCCTGATCATTATCCTTACACATTCCTGGTCCTTACCTAACAGACGCATTCCTAAATTCCCCCACTCGCAACTCCCAAAAACCCTAATATAAAGGCAGCCTCGAAAAAGGAAAAAAAGGCAGTCAACATTGAATTACCAGGCAGTTTAGACCGTCCACGATATATTCGCGAAAACCACATTGTAAAGACAATTATTAACAAATAAAGAAAATTCGTAAAATCCAAACCATCTAAAGAGATTCGACGACACGCCCTAATGAGGTCGCAACAATGATATTAGTGGTACCGTTTGGATAAACACATTTTTTAGATAACGATAATGCCGACTCCGATAGAATTTCACCCTTCCTATCTGTCGCATTCCTTTTCCTATCTAGTTTGTCACCGAATTATACTTTTCTCTTTCGTCAAACCCGATCATTTACTCATCCGCGAACCCTCATCTTTACTCACCCTCGAACTCCGATCCTTTACTCATCTCTTTACTCACTGGTACAGATATCCCTCTTCTACGAATTTTAACCACCGTTTGCATTACAAATAGCCAAAGATTTTCACGCCGCGCATTATTCTCCTAAGTAGAGACCTACGGTGACTCCCACTAATATTCGGACACTCTTTAGAAGAGTATAATTTTTTAAAAATTGGACCTAACGATTTGAGTTTTTTTTTTTTTGAGAAGGTAGAAGGATTAGTATACTAGATGACGTGTACACGTTTCTACCTACAAAAAAGGCACCAACATCAAACATTATGGCCCCCTCGATACCATTTAACTTCTGTTCCAAACATTTTCCGGTATCACGATTACTTTCGGAGATATTCGCAGACGTCGATTTAAATGGAACACCCTGTATGAAACAAGAATCGTATAAGAATGTAGCCGTGTTTCACACGTTTGAAAAAGAGTATAAATGTGTATTTTATCAAGGGCTTCGTATGAAACGCATAAAAATAAGTGAGAAATCTAAATCGAAAAATTGTAAGCACCGGTATTATCTTCGATAATAGAAATATCTTTGTTACTTATAAATCATATCTGCAGCGTCGACGTAACCACTCTTGTTACTGAACGATGACGATCCGTCAGGCAACAGGACTCTATGGAAAGTAATTTAAAAAAATAAGAACTTGTGATACATTTGAGAAAATACACAGGGCAGGGCAAAAAAACAAACTTCGTCTACCTGGAATATTTCCTTTATTTGTAATAATACAGAAAAATGTTATGTATATACAAAATTGTTGACATAATGTGATGAAAACTGCTTTTCACGTGGGTGCAGGCTTAGAGAAGATTTCAAGATCATCTTTATCTTTTTTTTAATGTGACGCTCTATCTTTTTTTTTTCTTCATCGCTGTGTGATAACCGTTGTTGTAGAGATTTCGGATTGCTATCATTCAAGGAACCACGGGTAATTCACTGGCTCTTACTTTTACGTAAACAGACAGTCTTGCCGCAATGTTAATGTTCTACTAATCGAGGAGATGGTCTAAATATGGCCTAACACTGTTATTTCAAGGTTTATTGTCAAACCTGTGGATGATTTTTACCCCTTTGCACTCGAAGGACTTTTTGCTGCAGGGAAAAACGAATCAGTTTGTTTGCTAAGTAAAATTGATGAAATTTCTGAAAATTAACATAGAAATAAACCGTATATATGTTAACGAATATAACTATTTCATTTGAATGTTTAATGTATTTTTATGGCTGATCCTTTCAAGCGATTTCACTGCTTAGACCTCTAACATATGGTGAACAATTTATTGTGGTTCATAGACCTGCTGTCCTGGCGCCTTAAATATCAATCTTAAGGGTGCTTCTTAATTATTCACCAAATGGTAAATAATAATGTCGCTTCTTAGTCTCCTCTCGCCTAACACTTGAATATATGTATGAAATCAAAATAAGCTGAACGAAAGCAACGTATGTTGCAAATTGTATATTTAAAATAAAAGGGAAAATCTTCATTTTTAGAAAAGTGGTCTAAATATGGGCCACTCGTAAAGTAATCGAAATGAAAAGTAAGAACTGCATATTTTCAGGTTAAAATATTAGGTTGAAGTATAAGAATGTAATATAAAAAGAATGTAATATAATGTACATATAAAAATGTAAACTTAAACTTAAATACTATTTACAATAGTCACAAACGTATATATCTTTTTCTTTTGTCGTCTTTTTTTTTAATGTTTTGGTATTTTTCTTATTACAATTCACCGAATTCTAATATTGGCTAACCCATATTAGCCCATATCATAAAGCTACCAACTGTGTAGCCCATATTTAGATGATTTTGGTCAGGAACGCTTAGAGCGATGGTATTCATTACAAAACATATACTAAAAAGAAGCTTACAATGTCAGCAATGTAGTACTATTAGTTAGTTAGCTCTTGGTTTAATAGATTATTGCTTAAAAAATAGAACAAACTTACTTGAAAAATGTTTTAAAATAGCGAGGTAAGAGAAATAACACATTTTGGTCATTTGGTTATTTTGTTCATAAATCGTAGTTCGAATATTTTCAATAGGACTGTTACACCCTCAAATATTTTCATTCTTAGTCCTTAGATTTATCTGTATTCACAATAGTCATCCACTTTCACCATTACTCATACTGGACTCTTCACCTTCCAACTCTCCTGCATAGTCACAACCCAAAGTCCATCTTCCCAGAACCCTTAAATAGCCCTATTTTCTCCATTTCCGCATTCATTCTCCATTCTACCACGCGCACGTCACGTATCATCAAAAATCTCTGTTAAATAAAGTTCCATTTCACGCAACGACGATCCCTAAGTGTTTTAACTCAGTGATATCTGCTCCTAGTTTCGAGGAAATGGAGAAAACCGGGCATCACAGGACGAACCACTTAACATGATTCAATACTTCACTAACCCATATTTAAACCATCTCCTCCACATTGCATACAACTACGAACCTAAACATTGTGGCAATTTACGACATTGCGTGGAATATCGGCAATGTGGGGGGTTCTGGTATGAAAGAGTGAATGTGAGAGAGTTGATGTGAATGGGCCTGGAAAGGAAGAACGAATAGAAGACGATCGCGCGTGGCGTATTTGTTATGTTTAGACAACATGGGTTGTCAAGCCGATCGCGGCGTGTGTGAGTGTGTGTATGTGGATGCGTGCGTGGAGAAAAGGAAGAAGAGAGTGAGGTGTGTATGTGTGAAAAAAATGAGAACCATCGAGCCGGAAGAGAGCGAATCGGAGCAGCGGTGAGGATAATAAAAGGAGAGATTATAAGTGAACAGCACCGGCGATGCGTGGGGTTACTTTTATTCTAATAAACACAAAAGTATTTAACCAAATCCCACAGTGATCAGTGTCAATAATTGATTGCTAAATATCACCGTGACAATCAAGTTGGAAGTTTTCTTTTGAAAAACAAGATATGATTATGATATGATCCTCGTTTATGAGGAAACTCGTCGAAATTCAATAAGAGATTGAGTAAAAGATGATGTTTACCTAATGAACATTATCCAAATTGATTGACAGAACGTGGACAGTTTCGTGGCCAATTTGTTCTCCGAGCTCAACCTAATTAGATAATCTTTCTCTGGGGAGCACTAAACAATGATTTATTAAGGTCTATCAAGAAATGCCGATTAAACTGAAAATATGTTCAGAGACGATAAGACGTGCACGTAATTCAGCGGTACAAAGATTGCAACTTTGCATCGATACAAATTTTCAACATCTTCTGTAATGTAACGATAAGGAAATAGAATCACATTAAAAAAAAAAAAAAAAAAAATCCTTGAAATCTCTTCTACGCCTACATCCACGTAAAATAGTATTTACATCACGTTATGGCCTCCTCCATATCATGCAACTTTTGTATATAACACTTTTCCATATTATTACATATAAGTATTTGTCCCACCCTGTATTATAATATTACTTATTTTTTTTTTTAAGTTCTTTTGTACGTCTCCTTCTTACCCATTTACTTTGCCTAAGATATCTTCGTAATATGACTCATTTTTCCCGATCCTTGAAAAACCAAAATTAAGGAATATACAGGATGTTCAAACAGTTACTAGCCAGTGTTTTTCTCGTAAATGGTACCTACACGTACATGTAGGAGTATAATTTTGAGAAATTTTCAGAGTAAAATCATCGTCATCGTAAGCAATTACTGTTCAGGAACATTGTTTACAATTACTGGATATTTTAATAGTAACGCGTTTTTGATAAAAAAAGAAAAAATAGAACATTCTTGTTTAATATAAATTCACTGTTTAACTTTATAATTTGAAGTATAAATACATATACATATACAAGGCTACATAAGTGCATAAATTTCGAATAATTTCTTTTCTAAATATTAACTGAAAGTTTCAATATATAACTATTGTCGTCAATAATATTGAATTCATATTCTTTGCTTTTATGAATTATACGTCACATAATTCACCCTCACACAAATTTTTTTTATGCAATTACATATCAATGTGATATATGTGTAGATGTACTGCTTACATACGTTCCTTATATTGTTCATTACAAGCAATAAAATCAGAATTATCAACAACGTTGAACACTTACCAAATGGGAGCAACCCTTGCACCAGACCCTTCAATAAATTTTACGTACGACGCAGCGATATAACTACTGTAATTCTTAGGATACTGCGAAGTGATATTGTCGCTTGTTTCTTGCGATAAAATACCTTTTAAACATAAATTCAGGGAGATGTATAAAAAAAATAATAACGATATGAATAGTGTTATAGAAGTAGTGTAACATGTTTCATATAGTACCACTTAGCTTTAAGAGGGTCTTCTAGTGTAACGGTTTCAAAAAATCGAATTTTATTTTTTTGCATATATCGAAGGTACAACTCTTTAAGAATGTACTCCTGAAGTTTTATAGTTGTATTCAATAAAATAACGAAGTTACAGCTCGTTTAGTGTGATACATCCAGGGAGAATCTAAATTGCACTGAAAACTTTAAACGCGTTTTTCTCGGAACCATGTTTTCTGAAATGGTTGCCACGATCTGGCAAAAACTACTGAACCAATCGAACTCAAATTTTGCACATGTCTTTAGAACATGTGTGGCTATGGTCGGTAGTAGAATTATGCCAAAATATACATTTTTCTGATTTTTGGAGCCTCTGAAAGACGAGAACCAATCGAACTCAAATTTTGCACATGTCTTCAGAACATGTGTGGCTATGGTCGGTAGTAGAATTATGCCAAAATATATATTTTTCTGATTTTTAGAGCCTCTGAAAGACGAAAAAAAGTCGAAAAAATCGATACTTCGTATTCAAAGTGCCGCCATTTTTTTAATTTTCAATATTTTTCTTTTATTCTACTACCGACCATAGCGACATGCATACTAAATAAGAATCAATTGGATTTTTTTATTTCTGATAAGCAGAACAGCTCAAATCATGGCAACCATGGACCCACCTTTTGACGTGTTCCACAGCAGCCATATTTAATTATTTTTCAACAAAAAAATTTGTAATGATTCTTCAAGGACAATTCCGAAGGACGATTCTTCCTATACATAGGAATAAAGCTCGTGTTAATAACTGTTACCGTACTTCTGTAATTTATTAATTAGCAAAGAAGGCCTAAAAAAACGGCCGTCACACAAGAAGACCTCCTTAATTCCAACTATTATTCGACGTGCGTTACCAAAAGTAGCACGTTCCATTTATCTTACGAAGAACAGCACGTGTCAATTTGCCACATAGCAAAGCACATTTCATCGTTTCTTACGAATATTAGCACGTTTGATCTTCTCCCGCGAAAATTAACGCATTATAGGTGCTGTTTCGCCACGAAGAATAGCACATTTTCGATTTCCTGACGAAAACTAACACGTTTCGACGTGCGATCGGTTTAAATTATGCGCTTTGCGTCGAAAAATTCAACCTTTGAAAATATTGTTTAACAAATAATAACTCCGTCTAACCTTCAGAACGAAAAATATATGAAAATATTTCTCACTCTAGTTTTCCATGCGTTCAAGAAAGAAGAAACCGAAGAGAAATAACAGCCGGTTCTTCCCAGAACACCTACCTCCCTCGATAACAGTCGCGACATGGATCCGAGCCTGCGTCAATTAAGCGGGGAATACTGTATACTGTATTACGATCAGATCAAGACAGAATTTTGATTAAATCAGACTAGATCGTACCTGACTTACATATATGATCCAAAGAAAAATAATCAAACCTTGTCGGTTACTGCGTTATAGAGCTAAACATGCTTTTTTCTCGTAGCCAACCATTGAAATGTGCTACTTGAAACCTACTATTTTTCGTAAGGCAAATGAAACGTACTATTGGGTTGAGCAGAAAATTCGTGCCAATTTCTAAGTAACTGTGTTTTAAAGCAATAATATCTTTACTCTATAAGACGTGTACCGTTTTATTCTATAACTTTCCGCCGTTTCCCGGCAATTTGAAAATTCCATTTTTTTTTTAATTTCTTTTAAGATCAAAATTTTCATCTCTAAATTTTGCAAATAATTTCTGATCAATTTTCCTCCGATAGACTACCTTCTCCGTAAACATTAGATACTTTGTTTGCCATTTAGTGGTGTTTTCCTTTTTCAGTAAAAGGAAAACAATAAGTGTTGGAAATCTACTCTATCTGCATCCATCTTCAAAATACTATAACTCGGAGAAGAAACTAGTAGTTGTAACGAATCTACTTCCAAAAGACACGTGAAAAAATGATCTTTCAAAATATGTACCAACTTCCTATGTTTTCATCGAGTTTTATTTGCTCTAACTTATTCAAACAAAGTCTATCAAAAATCGGCACAAACTTTTTGCTCAACCCAATACTTTTTGTAACGCACGTGGTATCAGCGTTGTAATCTTATGCTCAACTATTAGAGGTGTATGTACTCTTATTCTTTTTACCAATTATTGGCCGAAAATTTATAGGAGTCCACGAACACTGCGCTGGCATAATCCCAAAGGTGAGGGTAGTAAATACAAAAGTAGCAAGTGTTATCGACATTCTTGACTTTGTGAAGAGTATGTATTAATGTTCGAAAACAACGAACTGTTGTGCACTATTAATGATAGTCAACTGAAACATTGTGTTAACGTTCTGCACCATATATCGTGTTCTAATGGGTAAACTCTTATCTCTTAGATTAGTTTCGTCACTAATAATAAAATATACAGGGTGATGCTAGCAACAGGGCCAAACTATAATTCTGTTTTAAATGAGATTGAAAAGAAAAAGTTGTAGAGAAAATTGTTACACTGTTTAACGAGCTGTAACATTTTATGATTTTTTCCGCAGGTGCTTCGATGTACCTGCAAAGTGCAATTACACATTAATTAAACGAAACTGTATCTTTTTTTTGGGTAGATTCATTCTTCGGAACATTCTATTCTATTCATTCTGTTTTCGCTTGAGAGGATACAATAGAACGCTCGGGACTTCCGCAATGCCGGATTATTGGACTACATACACCCCACGGCTTAATTTCCCGTTCAAGCCATTTCATATTACTGCCTTTTCCTTCCGTTCACTTAAACTATGCAACTACGACGATAATTTGTTAAAACAAACATTTTTCCTTTGCTCTATAGTGCATCTTAAACGTTAACTTTTTCTTGATAATAATGATTTTTACAATCTTATAAATATTAGAAGATATATAGGGTGAAAAGCAAAACTATCAGTTTCGACAACGTGGGGCGTATGCGCGGAAAATATACATATAACCAAAAATCGGTCCGGCACGGAACGTGTGAACACTTAAAGCGCCGGCCATTTTGTTGGAAACTTTACTTAAAGCGCCGCAATATTTACGAGTTTTGTAGAAACATCCACTTTTACAAAATAAAATAAAATAACTCTTGTAAAACAGAAAATTTTACATAGTGCTTATTACAGGCACAGCCGCGATTTTTAATGATATAAATATTGACCCACTTGCTACTCCACATATTACGCCTTAAAGCGTGAGAATGAGTCCAAAGACGACATAAATCGGACTAATCACAACAGTAGTATGTTTTAAGAACACCCTATCAACTATCTAAGTATGTACGTCAGGAAGAAACTGACGAATCCATAAGTGTCGTTACTAGGAGAAGGAAAATAGGAGAGGGGATGACCCCACTACCAACCCGCTTATTCGAAAATTCCCAAATATGCTATATGTAATATTTTGGCATTAATTATTTCAATGTACTTTAATCCTATTAAATACTCTAATCCCATTAAATACTTTAATCCCATTTGACTTTACTTGATAATAAACGGATACGTCATAATTTCTATGTCACACACCAGTATGATGCTTCTCTCTGGCGGCCAAACTTCAAAATCCAGGGGATTTCGGAATAAATTAATCGTCTAGATACCCCAGAGCTCCTTCAATGCATTTTAGTTGTTCAAGTACCCAATAATCTCTAGCACAATTAATGTCCACTTTTTAATTTGCTGATTTGATTAATGTTAGGAACAGCGGCAATGACATAAATTGCGCAGTAGTCACTTTTAGCTTTTAAAAGGTCTCTATTGTCACACAAAACATCATGTTCAAAGTATTTGACAGTGCAAATTGCAAAGAGACATTCAATATTTCAGACGTTTAGACGTTTTGTAATATGTTAACCTTTGCTGTTAAGACCTCAACAATTCGATCAACATAGAACACCAAATTATAGAATAAATCAACGACATACACTTTTTAATATCATTTGTATTCACTTTCAACTTACAGAAATACAATTGTTTTCAATAGAAACGTTCGTTTCGCACATGATTCTGGCTACGTGAATGGTTGTCAGGAGCGTTCGGTAACGCTCGGGACTATTCGGTCATTGGTTCTTTTTTCGAGTATCCTGGATACGAAACAGTTCATGTCAAATTGAACACTTTCTGCCACTGTGTCATAGATTTTTTTCAAACTCAGCATAATTATATTAAACGTTAAACTGTTAAAAATCGAGTCAAACTTCTGATTACCTAATAAGGGAACATATTGAAGTGATAATTGACATCGCGTACCATTTCACATAAAACCATGGACATTTTAAATTTGTCGTAGATAAGGATAAAATGATAATTCATCTGGTACGTCAAATCACATACGACGTACAGTCGCAGATGAAATATAGGACAGACCTTGCACTTAATGTATTTTTATGTTGAACGTTCTGAAATACCGACCGTGTAAAAAATCAGAGCTTTTGTTATGCCTCCTACGATATAAAACGGCGAGTTTAGACATTACATACATACAATCACACCATAGAAGATGGTAAAATCGACAGGTGTAAAAAATTCTTTTTTAGAGATATGAAATGAAATATTTTACAGAATGTCATTTTTCGATTTCTAGATTCATCCCTCCAAATTTCGTTAAAATCCTCGGAGGTTAGGTATGTAGTCTCCTTGTTAAGTGCTTTGCACATCAATATTTCTCAAATTTTTTATTTCACTGAAAAGTTACAAAGTGAAATTAGAAAATAATTAAAAATAAAAAGTAACACCGTCGCACCAAGATTCAAAGGGAATCTCCTGATTGTTACTCATGCGCTCAGATTGCTTGAGTGTCACGAGGTGGCGTAGATTATTGGCGGAAAGAGCTGAACAGGCTTAGCACACGGACAGAGCTACCACTACCCTTGCGTGAGAGCACGAGGACGATATAGTGGGAGATGGCGGTAGGTCATAGTGGGGGTAACGGCTTCGGTCCACGGCCCACGTTCCACGATTCTGGCATCACTGGTCTGATCACTGTTGATCACTGCTGACCGATTTTATTTTATTTAATCAAGTGATGACTTTAGAAACCTCACGTTTGTTTTGCCGGACAATACTTGCCGGCAATATGTTTTGAATTGGTTTTTCATTACAGTACTTTTCAGTCATTAAAGTTCAGATTTTTGTTTCTATTAAATAATATTTATTTTTAAAGTAAGTACAATATTTATTAATAGTATTTTTCAATATTAATTCTTTTGGCTTTTAAACACGTCCTCATAATGTGTGTAAATAAATACATTTAAAAAATGTGATATTCAATGAAACTTTGTTTGTAAATGAATATAACAGTATATGAAACGTAATGCTTTTACTATACATGATTATTGGTCTTTTATTATAGATTAATAAATACCGTATATTTGTATGAGTAAATTCTTTGACTTAATTTAAACGTCATTTATAATTAAAAATTGTTTATTTCATTTATTTTTGCTGACATTTTTATTTTCATCAAATATGAAATATATTTTATATTTTACATTACTTCGTGTTTTATTTACTTCGAACCTATTTTTGCATTTATGTAATAATTGTATCGATTTGTTAACATTAGTATGTATTATATTCGAGTGGTATAAAAACTTCGTATCATGTTCATTTCTTTTATCTGGTAATTTAATTAAATTGTAAATGAATGTACTATGATAATAATAGAAAGTACATTTTGAACATAAATACAATTTTACATTTAATAAGATAAACATCTTTGTAAGTAACTTCACATGTTAAAATTTTGGTGACCATTATTTTTTTTTTTAAATACATTGTAATTGTTAAATAATGTTTATTAATTATTGTTAGTAATTTTTATAATTTATTGTAAAAAACAAATTTGATTAAATATGTAGTTTTATAGATGTTTGTTATATTTGAGTTTTATTTGAAAAGTCACAAACCTATTTATATTTTTAATTTATCATAATTTTTCATGTTTGAAATTTACATTACACCTGTTTGTAGAAATTTGATACAAAATACAATTATCCCATAATATATCTTAAAAAAATGGATCATAATAAAGAAAAGCCAATTGGTAAAGGAAGAGGAACTTTCTTGTTAAAAATGTTAGAAAAAGAAAAGTCTAAACATGAAACCATAGCACAATCTGTATCAGCTGTTGCTAGTAGTTCTAAAAACCAAACCCAAAAACATTCTAATCTCCCATTTACAAGTGAAATACCAATAAGTTCTCCAATGGGATTAGGTAGAGGTAATATATTAAATCTAATACAAACAATGACACCTAAGCCAGTGTCAGTAGCTGGTCAAGGTAGAGGATCTTTGATTAGTAGACTTAAATCTGCTAGGTACGTATTCCATGCTATACATGTTTAATAATAATATACATCTTTAAAATATTATTTTCTATAATGTAGAATTTAATTAACTTTATATATACATATTGAAACGATTAAAAAAAAATGTAATAATAAT